GGCTTGTCCGTTCGCCGGTGCAACAGCCGCTCTGCAGGCGATTGTTTCAGGTAGCGACGGGCATTCTTAGTGACTTTCGTTTCCAGCCTTTCGAATTCTGCAGGTTACAACTTCGGCATCGGAGTCATTTCCGCTAAAAAACTGCGTCGACTGCAGCAAACGATGACCAGCACCTTCGCTCTTTTACCGTCGCTCAACGCGTGGGGCGAGGAAGAAGTTCTTTTAGAAACCAAAGATCGAAACTATACCGCCAGTGACTACCGCCAACTGTTTGAAGATCTGATCATCACAAACGGCTGGAGCATATACAACAGCATTGGACACTTGCAACGAAATATCGAAGCACCAGGAGTTGAGGCAAGAGGCTTGATAGATAGTCGTACTGTAATACCAGTCATCAGTATTACCCGTCCCACTTGTCCCAGTACGACATCGGGTGCCATTCAGGCTACTGCACTAGACTGTTGATGGTTGCTGGTAGTTGCGATCTGACCCCGAGACAAACTTTGGAAAATACACCCTTTCAGTGTTTTCAGGATACTATGCTCTTGCTGAATGGATTGTGTTTGTGGCCTATTTGTGAATTGCTGTTGTTGCGTTCATCATTGAAGGTTAGCACAGCCTAAGCAGCAGATAGCTTAAACGCATGGAACAGCAGGTGCATGGCAGCGGCTATATTTCTCGTAACAAGTAAATCTGTCTCAGCCACAAGGTGCCAAATGTACTATGCCCTATGATCTTCGTGAGTGAACAGCGTCGAAAATCATGCGATTCTCATTTCGATCCGATTTATCGAACGAGCCTGGTTAAAGAACTTCTCGTTACCAACTTCATGACATTTCAGAGACACGGACGTTTCCAGAACGTATATCAATTCCGTGGATGCGAAGGCTTTGAAGATATTAATTGTCGTATTAGTCATTATAGTACAATATTGTCATATTTTCTGAAGCCTGCCGAAATTCACGGATAACAGTTAAGTGTACAGACTTACTGCAGGATCAGTGCTCCTATTTGAGTGATGATTGATTTATCTGTTTCAATCTATCTAAATGCCTCTTCTTTTTCGCACTATTCTATTGTTTCCTCCTACTCATGAATGTAAAGAGCCCTCTCATGATCTTTGTATTATGGTGTTTTGTAGATCAATTCCCATATCGTTGTTGCACACGCTTTTTGGAAATATCTCATCAATCATCTGAATTGTTGTAAAGCAATAATGAATTTTAAAAAATCGTACAATATATGGAAGAATAAGAATCGAACGAAAAACATAATTTTGAAAACAGCCGTATTGGCGCAGCTCATGTGCAGTCTCGAATATTCGCCGTCCTGAAATGTGGCGAAGCTCGTTTAGACAGCTTCCAACAATGCTGCCCTATGCAACCTCATCAAAGTGCGATGGCATCAATGAGTCACGAACGAGTGCTGACAGTCGTCAGTCTGAGGCAACAATCAGACGAACTCAGAGGCCGGCACCAGGCTTGGTTTGATGAATCAGCCCAAAAGGAGAATAGAAATAGATGAAAAGCTTTTCTCTCTTGGGAATCACTCTGAGGCCGCAGAGAAATGCAGAACAATAAAAAACGTTGAAAAACCTCGTTGAGGCACATCTGTTTATGGAGATGAATATGACGAGTGCTCAAGATGAATCTGAAGTATGATTTCAAATGGTCAAACATCATAAATATGGCTTATTCTTGTGTCGTAGCTCGGTCATCTTCAGACGACGATGACAAAACAACGGAATCATCCATAATTTGTGGAATCGGTCGGCAACTCGACGTCGTCCGCATCCTTAGATACCATAAAAAATTTGTTACTCTGTCTGCTTTCGTACCGTACGATCGGTTTTCAACTCGATGCCGTGCGCACTAAGTTGCAGCACGTTCAACTCTCACCTTTGTATGTGCGGCAATTTACGCTGTACATTTGCACCTCCACGTTTCCGGACAACATGGGGGAGTTAAGGACGAAGATGGCAAATACTGCAGTTTAAGGCTAAAAGAACTGAAGTTATGAATTTGCGACTGCCAGCGGTAATTTCGAACAGCTGCAGCACGATTCGTTCGAAACGTGACGAACCGAACACTCTTTCCAGTGTACTTTTACAGAAGTCACGTGCGTTCTTCTCTTACACGAACCGTGACTCTGCTGCAGCGAAGATGACCACATTTTTGAACTTGAGAACTTCAAGGGCGTTCGTATGAATTGTATCGAAATGCTGCGGAGGTGGTATAATAACTTTGATCGATTCAGCATGGTGTACCCATTGTTTACCTTCTGAGTCAAAGACCTGCCATACCTCGTTGTCGAAAACACGCCCAGCTTTTTGCCACTGCCCAGAGTCCTCGTTCACAGCATCTACATGTCATCTTATTGAAAGGGGGCATATTTACGATGACAAAGGCGTGACCTGATACGAAAAAGAGATCAGTTTTATGGAATATCCTGTTAAAATCTATTTCTCATGTCTGGACGATAGAGAATTAGTCATACGGTAATACGCCAAAAATTATTTTCGTTACACTGATAAAGGAACACGTTTTATAATTCCTAAAGCTCTCTGTTTAATAAATATAAATGTTCCATCGCAGTGTCTTTAATTATCATATTCTGTATTCTGATCGAATAGTCGATATATATCTTTACTAGCTATAAGTTGTTTCACTTCTTTTAAGCATTTTCAAAACATTATTCGTTTATCATTCGGTTTTTTGTACATCATGGTGTCATATTATCTTAACTTCCGCGCAACACTACTGTTTTGGAGCAGACATCAAGATGACTTAGATCTTCGAGGCGATAACGCAAAAATAAATGACGTATTATCCTGCTAAAACGTATTTTGTATTTTTTAATATGCTGATAATTTCGCGTAGTTCTGAAGGGTCTGGCGTGGTAGGAATTTGTATAAACTGGCCTTGCTGTAAATTATTTTTGTGATACATCGTAAACATCTTTTGCAGGTTCACTGCTTGTATGGGGCAGAGATCGACACCATAGGAAGTTTGGCTTTCAGGAATAGCGTTCCTTCCGTAGGGCTTGAAAACGGCGATGGAACGGTGAACATCAGATCGCTTCGAGCATGCCAAATGTTCAGGAACAAGCAAAGCCAGGAGGTTTTTATTACCGAGCTGCCAGGTGTCACCCATACCAGCCTGTTCGTGGAACCGAAAGTGTACAGTGCAATTTTGAAAATTCTGTGGCGCGCTTGAAAATCTTGTTTTACGTCCACTATGTTGTTTGTCTAAACTTTGTCAGAGCTTGCTAGCCACGACCGGAAATGGAAACTCCTGGCCTAAGTACTGTATCTACTACTGTATGTACTGAGTTTTATATGCACTACTGCGCAGAGTACTTACATACATTTTTTGTTGACGAATTCACTGACTCAAAATTTCGCACTTGCAGATTAATCCTGTTAGCATCAAGAAGAACGTTGAAAATGCTGAAAAGATGTTGAACTTTATCGTCTTTGTCAATGAAATAGATCTGCTTGATGAATAGGCTTCAAGTTCATGCGAAAAGGCTCCGAAAGTTACGTGTTTCGTGCCGGCATTCCTCCCCTGTCAACCAATGGGGCAGTTTCAGCCCGTCAATGATTTTATAGCCATAAGAAGATTACTAAAGCGTAATCTCATGACTTTGTTATTGCTCTTTAAATAATTTTTCATTATTTCTTTTATCTTCTTAATTAGATATTGCTCACGAAGTTTTTTAACAGCGTCCCAAGTTTTCACGTAATGACATGT